CCCCGTGTCATCCGAACGCGAGGTTAGTGCGCTAACGACTACACCACGCAGCCAGCTAACGAAACTGGTTTGTTTTGTTGGGTTATGCCCTTTCGGTCTGACAAGACCATTTCAGAGCCGGAAGGATCATAGGATGGAGACATTGGTCTTCTTGGCGAGCACCCTGGGTCCAGTTCATATAGAGTCCCTGGTCCCATTGCTGTTACGTGACACTTATTGGAAAGGGCGACCCCACAATTGATTCATATAGCCACTCTTACACACCTGCACCAACGTTTCCCAAAGTGTCCCTTTGATAAGTGGCACTTTGGCAAAGTGACACTTGCCGACTGGCCTTTCTATATGAACTGGGCCCGGCCCTGGTGAGTTGCCGGGGCTGAGCCTGACCAAAGGATAGGCCGAGCAGCCCCCAAGCACTCACCGCACCCGGCTACGGGCGAGCTCGGCTTACGGGCAATCCCAAATGGGATAAAGTTTCCCGTCCAGTCCGGATCAGGGGGTTGCGGCGTGGAGGAAGATTTGAGTTTCCTGAGGATATTTTGAATACAGAAGCTCTTTATGAAACATGAAACATGTATTTTATATTATTTTAACGGTCAAAACAGCGGCCGATGTCGGTCCGACGTCGCCCCGACGTCGGCCCGACGTCGGCTGGACCTCAGCAATTGATCTCGGTCCGACGTCGGCCCGACGTCGGCTGGATCTCGGCTGGACGTCGGAACATGCGGGCATATCCGACATCCAGCCGACGTCGTGCCGAGGTTGAACCGACGTCGGGCCGACGTCGGCATGCCGATGCCGAGTTGCCGACGTCACCCCGACGTCGGCCGACGTCGGGCCGACGTCGGCATGTTTACTGGGTAACAGGTCCCGATTTTCCCGATTTTCGGGTCATTGACCTGACCTGGAAGGTCACCCGATGACCAAAGACCTTAAAATTGGATATCATCGGCTTCCTCTCATGACGGGCAGCACGCTCGTTTTTTCCGCGAAGCTCTAGCTCGATCAGGGGCCAAACGCGAGGGGGGTCGTACCCCCCCCCCTTGTGCCGTCGAAGGACGCAAAATGGCCTGTGCCGGCGAGGGTTAAAATTGGGTATCATCGGCTTCCTTTCGTCACGGGCAACACGCTCGTTTTTTTTCTGCGAAGCTCTACTGCTCTAGCTCGATCATGGGCCAAACGGCAAGGAGGGGTCCAACGGACCCCCCCCCCTTATACGTTCGCGGCTGGAAAAACACCAATACGGGCGAGTGTTCAGGAGGAAAGAGAGTCGGTGACGGTCAGGGGCACTACAAGCAGAGCACCATAAGCCGGTGACCGGGCTGACATACCATGTTTTGATAGCATGACTGAAACAGACTTTTTTGGGTAGCCAGGAAATCGCATGCGAGAGCCTATTCAAATTCTTACATCGGCCTTTATATGCACCAGTCGTATACCTACAAGTACGGGACTTAGCATACGATTTCCAGACAATCGAGAGACTGTTTGGACTTTGGAGCCAACAAAGGAAGGAATGAGTGAGTTAAATTGAAAGTATTAATTTGGTCCAAAATGTTGATGTAGATAACTTAGTTATTTAAATCTACATCATAATATCTACATAAATCTACATAAATCTACATGTAAATATCTTATAACGAGAGCGATCGACATTTTTGGCATGCAGTGTTATTCATTGAAAACCGGTCGGAGCGTTTGAGTCTTTAATTTAGTGGTCGCCGCTTACTAATCATGCGGCATACACGCCGCACATAACCGCCAATGCCGCAACGCCGCTTAGATTTCGAAGTAAGCACTTAGTCTCACCCAAAATATTCACCGGTTTTCAAGATATTAGACTTTTACTATTGTTTACTTTTTGGGATCTCCGCTGTTCCTAGCGACTTTATTTGAAAGTGCGGCATTTGTTGCGCGCAAAGCAGCATATACCACCGCGTGCTACCAAACGTTTTAGTAAAAGATTTAAAAATCGTTATATCTCCGCTGACGTCACAAATTCTAAGGGGGCACACCAATGCATTAGCCCCTTAGAATCCGAAAACTGCAATTTTGAAATTCCATATCTCCGAATTAAAGCATTTTTCGATGTTATGAGTGCCCAAACCGGTATTTTCAGGCCATGGCCACCAATTTGGCTATCTCAACTCAAAACTAATGTTAAGGTGGGATGGTCACTTAAAGCCACCGTAGGAATATTAGCTGCCAGCTGCCACCAGTGACGTCATCATAGTATGACAATTTTTGAAGATACAGTTTGCATGTATTTGACGAGCATAATTTGAAATTGAATATTTTACCGGTAATAAATTATTGGCCAGACGCTGAAGTTGCCAAAACTAACGTGAGAGCTTCGATAATAAACTTGGAGCCAAACCGATGTTGAAAAAAACGAACTATAACTATATTCCTTAGCAATATAGTAGGTATGAGAAGTTACAATTATTGTTAGCCTGACTTACGTAACATCAATGCGGTTAAAGCAAATCATATTATGAAGTGGATACGGACAGCAGATGTCGCATAAATCCAAATATAAGCACCAAACACAGGAATTGACCGGAATTGATGTATAATCTTGCTGATCTATGACGTTTTGGTGTATTTTATACAATGGTACATAACTTGGTACATTGGCATACCCCATATGGTACGAAATAGGTTCGTTTTGGTACATTTTCATTCAGAATCTGGTACGTGTCGAAGATTCCCAACGGCAACACTGCTTGGCATTGCCAGTCAAGGCTATAGAACTCCAGGGTATATTGAGTGAAGGGTAGGACGAACTTTGGTAGGAATTTCTAGTATAACTACTAGAAAACCTACTATATGTGGTCGGGACTAGCAAAAAGTTAGTTCAAACTAGAATATGGTAGCGCTTATGGTTGGCAGTCGTGACGCGCACGTGACATTCATTTCTTAAATTTCTTAAATAACAGGTTTTAGGGGTCGATTAGTGGGCAGATACATTCAATTAGCTATTAATAATTGATTATGCAAACGTTCAAGAATCTACATCATTCAATTCTAGCCAAAATCACGCGGTGCTCCCAGGATTCGAACTCACGACCCTCGGATCCGTAGCCCGATACGCTACCGACTGCGCTACCGAGGATCGCGCTCCGATGATCGGAGAGGCGGATCGCGGGTGCTGGCGTGCAGAGAAATCTTTACCCTGTACGCCGTAGAAGATCGGCTGGGTTTCGTGAAAAATGGTAGAGGAATTGTCGAAAGAAAATTCATCGATCTATCATTTGAGACTAAGAACCATTGATTCCTTCAAAGGTTGACCGAGATATCGCTCGCCGAAAACAGGCCATTTAACATGTAAACCCTATGGGCTGGTAGGAAATGTACGCCGTGGAGCAGCAGTGCTACCAACTAACTTCGGCGGGGGCCGATAGAACTCCAGTATTCCTATGACCGTGCCAGTGCAGAGCAAGGCCCTAAAACGTGCAGAGTAAGTGCAGAGTGTACTTGAAGTCAATAAACGGTGAAAAGTGAAAACTGTTACAATTTTGAGCAAATTGAGTTTTATTTACCGTGTCGTAGTCAGATAGACAATAATGAATAATGAAATCTCAATAGAATGAGGCAGTCGTCCGGCGTTCAGGAGGTAAGAGGGCGGCTAAGTAGTAAGTTCCATGCTGCCAAGGCTTGCTGCCGTGCAAAGACAAAAACTACTATGTTGGGTCACCTAACTTCTGACCCAATATGACCTGACCTGACCCAACATATTAGTTTTGGCATTAGTAGAGCAGACGTCACACAAAGGTTTTCCAACCGAGGAGAGGCGCTGTAGGTTTGAAGGTTGCATGTATTTAGGGCCTTGGGTTGCAGGGTAGGTTTGTATGTTTTTAGGTATAGGTTGTAGGTCAAGGTTTGTAGGTTGTAGATTAGGTTAGGTCAGGTTAGGCGTTCTGGGGCTGCGTCAAATGTCCCCGACATCTCAGTGATCTCAATGACTAAAGAGGATGAATTGACGCTGACGGTTCCATATGATCCCGGAGCCGAACCGGACCCCATCCCCACTCCCCAACGGACTACTCTCCGAGTCCGAACTCTGTAAAATCGTGACTGAACCGTGTTTTTGCTCGGTTACCGGCCGCGCAGGGAATAAGGGAAGGATGTTAGTTTAGTCGGGTTGCGTGGAGCTTTGAAGTCCCACTCCCGTTTCAGCCTGGCTTTGAAGCTTATGGATGTCCTGCTTCCGCGAGCAGTGGTAGTCGACGCATCACAGTGAACTGGCTCAGAACTGGGCTCGGATCCTTTGTGGTCTAGCGGCTCATTTCTATTTTGTCGACTTTGACCTTATACTTCAGCGGGCCCGGCTTTGATTTCAGAGGCTACGGTTGCGAATAACAGCGCCGACTTCCACGAGTTCCCGGCGCAGGTTAAAGCGATATTTCAGTCGCCGTATACCACGAGTCTGTATCACCGTCTATTTTGCCTGTCGGTTACGTCATCTCAACGGTGTTTTCCTGTATCTCGATTCTCGCTACCATAGACAATGGAATTGGACATGTCACATCCGATGCGGTCCTGCTGGCGAGGTCCTCTCCACGTTTGTCTACATCAAAGGCCGCTGACCCCTGACAGTGCCGAGTGATGTTTGTTTTGTCAGTTTTATTGGGTAGTAAACCCTTTCGATCTTACTAGCCATGTGAGTTCAGCGGCATGCCTGAAATAATAAGGGACCTATCGACCGACTAGCGTACCGCGGTGGCAGAGCAGTCTTATCTGCCGTTTTGACTGGAGCGTTCCGGTGCAGGACGGGCCGGCCAGGGTAGGTATATGTATTGGACCAGCAGCGGACAGTCGAACCGTCACCTCGGAGGCGTAGGCCCCTCTCAGATTGGCCCTCCACCGGCTGGCTGGTGGTTCGACTGTCAGCTTGGACAGTACACACTGCGATCCGGGAGGAGGATGGGGTCGTACTGATGATAGAGGACCATGAAGTGACCGGCAGACGTTCAGCAGTCACAGTCACACATTCCTACCTTGATGGTGTCCAGCGGGAAGCCGGAGACGATGGCGCAGGCGCCGCCCACGCCGCCCGCCAGGAAGTTGGACAGGAACCCTGTCTGCTCCTTCGTCATGTTGTCCGGCTGTGTGGCTGACGGAGACGGTCAGTAGACTGCGCGCCGCTGAGGTCTCCGCTCGCTGCCGTAGTCGGCTCTGACGACCGAGACGTCCTGGGGCCCGTGCGCTCTCCCTGAGCGTCCACCACACCACGGTGTGCCGCTGCCGTCCGTCCTCTGCAGGCTGCACTGGTCGGTCGGGCCACTCGGTGCCGCGGGTCGTCCCTCGGTCCGTGGGGCGGTGCGGGTCGCGACGGGCACTGTGTGCGGAGCGGCAGTCCTCCCCGACCGGCGGCAGACCACTGTACGACACTGGGCATGACACTGTAACTCAGCCGGGCGCCGCCAGACACCGGGCCGCCCACCCCAGTTTGTTTGGTGGCCCCAGACCCCAGACACGCCCGGTGCTGAGTGCGCCAGCTGGACACGGAGCCTGGTAGATGGAAATTCCCCTCACGCTTTCCTACCGGCCGCCCGGGTGATTGTGTATGTTACCCCGCGTTCGATGTCTCTCGGACGACAAAGATTCTACGTCGTCCGGCCAATCCCGTCCAAGGTCAGCGGGGGCTCGGCTGCGGTTATGGAACGTGATTGGCCGGACGGCGTAGAATCTTCGCCGTCCGAGAGACATCGAACGCGGGGTTATATACGGGGCCACGTGGCCTTCATCACAACTGTTCAGTAGACACGCCTGGAACGTTTAAGCGTTTTAGCCCACTTCTTTGTGTAAGTAATTATTCTTCACATCCGCTTGACTTGACAGCAAACTATTGACTCAAGATGATCGCAGCGAAGCATTAGAACAACGAAGCCATTGAAATGCCAGCTGAGGCGTTTCGTAACCCACGTAATACCGATTGTTCTCAAACTGTAGAGGACAACGGAAGGCTTTTGAGCTTTGAACTTGGTACATTTTGCACGGTCAATGTGCTAAATCAACGAACATCTGGCAGCATTGTTTTTTAAAGTGCCACTCATTCAAACATATGTCAGTGCCTCAATTGGAGGAAGACGAGTATGGGCTACATTTCTCCTTGGGAGGTCGAAGTCCAGCGCCACAGCGGCGGAGCTGGAACTATAGTGTCGAATGTTCCTTCGGAAGGTGGCAGCACGAGAGCTGCAACGAGACGGCGGTAGTGTGTGAAGATAGCCTGGATTTACTGCTCGGTTTGTGGAGGTCCACAGCGAGGCGTTCAGCTGTACTCGTTTTGAGCAAGAGTATGCGAGTATGTAGCCGATTCTTTTGTTTATAGCTGATTGTCGCCCGCCTGTCTGTCGAATGCCGACGGGGCTGTCGCCGTCACGTTAGCTCGACCTGACCGGCTGCGGTTGTCCGACGGACGTGACATGACAGGCTGGTGTCGCCGAGTACCCCGATCCCCGCCTCTCCAGCCTCCAGGGTGTCATGCTTGGCCACTGCAAAAAGCCCATGCTGTGTCTTGTACGGCTATAGTCGGCTATCGGCTCGGACAGAGAGCTATATAGTTGAGAAGAATGGAACTGAGACGGAGTGACAAGTGTCTTCTATCAGTTAATATTGGAGACGGTTTCGGTGTAGCAGACCGCTGGATGCTGGTCCCGCTGATCAGTATCATTGTATCACTTTGACCAAACGAGTTTGTTACGATAAATACGACCCTCTTTGTGGCAGGCCCTCGTTTATTGGCGTGTGCTGAAGGCTGTAGGTTTCACTAAATGTTGCATTGCAAAGCGCCACAGCCACCCCAACAAGCAGCGGTCATATTTATTTCTGTTGCCATCCCTGATCCATCAGCTCAGAAACAAACACATTAATTTCTGTCCGCCACCTGCCTGTCATGTTTTCGCTGTGCTGCTGGTTTACCGCAAATGTTCTCAATAGATGGCAGCAGTAGCCAACGCCTGAAGGTATACTGTGCCGCAATGTTTCATGCGCCAACGCCGGCCCAGCGGCATTGGCTGGGTTACCTGGAGCCCGGTGTTGACGCGTCTGAGTCACTGCTGGCTGACTGAGATGGCCAATGTTTGCCAATCTCTCTGAGATGACTCAGACGACACGTTTGACTCACCGCTTCAACCCGTGCTTCTCGGCACCGTGCCGCATTTTAGCTCGCCGCGCTGCCTTGTGACAAAGGTCGGTGGCATTTACTCAGGTGTAGGGAGTAGGGACAAGGGAGAATAACCATGATCGCTATCGCCAGCATCCCCAAAAGATAAGACACTTAACACGCGTTACAACTTCATATGACCAAATCTAATTTTAAAAAACCTGGCGTCACTTACGAGATCTTGAATATGAAGTTATGGCCTTAGCATCTTGAGCAAGGATGGAACGTCGAAATGATGGAACGCTTAGTCAGAGATAGTAGGTAACTGAAACGGTTCTGTTTTTAGGGCCGGGGGTCAGAAGCGATCCGGGCTCATATACCTGCACTGGCAGCGGCATGCAGCGAAGTGAAGATCCTGTGGTCCTGTTGCGTAACCCTGAGTGAGACCGCATCTCTTGGCTCGGATCCAGACCGTCGACGAAACAACAACAGAGCGGAACCGACGCCGTAACGGACGACTGTCTGAGCAGGGCGGGAAGGAGCCAGACACCGGCCCGTGACCCCGGCTCGCTGGTCTGCTCACGGGGACGGCCGTGACAGTGTGACGTCACGTCACACAAACTCTGTGGTGACGTCACGGCGCGGCCAAGGTCGGCCCGCGGTGCCCACCTGTGCCGCTGCGCGCGGCGCCGTCTGGCGGCCACTGTTTATGGGCGGCGCGCCGTTCGCCGGCGGCTCGGCAGCCGGCCGTCGCCGCCGCTCCAGTCAGTGCGCGGCGGTTCGTGAGTGGGGAGGTGTGCCGCCGCCGAGCCGTGACCGTGTGCGGCGCGTCCGTTATGTCTCGCCGCGGCGCCGGCCGTTTCTCGCTGTTCGCTGAGGATGGCGGTGATTTTGGCGCGCTGCCGACGTCGCCGCGCAGCCGCACCGTGCTCGGCGCCGCCCGTGCCAGCATGGACTTGGACCAGTTGCGCTCCGAGCTCCACCGCCGGAGCGCCGCGGACGGTGAGCCGGGTGAGGACTTTTTCGGCGACAGCCGGCTGCGGTTTCAGCAGCTGCTGGACGGCGGCAAACTGGGCGCGAGGCGACGCTCGGGGGACGATCGATTGGCACAGCTGATGGGTACTACGGGCCCCGGGCCGGGCGGCCCGCCCGCCGACGGCCTCCAGTCGCCCCGGGAGCCGGCGGACGCCACCCCGGAGCCCGAGCTGCTGCTGGGCAGGCCGCGGCCCTCGCTGCTGGCCAGCCGCTCGCCGCTGCTGGCCGATCGGTCCCTGCTGGCCGGCAGGTCGGGCGGGCTGCTCGGCCAGCCGGGCCGGCTGAACGGCAGCCTGGCTGGACGTACCGCGGCCGGCGGCGTGCTCAGCTCGGCCTCCTCCAGTGCCGTCGTCAACTCGTCCTCGTCGTCCTCGTGCGCCGCGGTCAGCTCGTCCAGCTCTGTGGTGAACTCGTCCAGCGCCGTCGTGTCCAAGTCGTCCTCGTCCAGCGAGCTGCTGAGCTCGTCCGGCGACGGCCGGGCCGTGATGGCCGCCGGCGCGGACGCGGTGGCGCCGCTGCCCAACGTCACGTCCAAGCGTCAGCAGACGTTCCAGCAGTCGCGCACGGCCTCCAACACGACGTTCAGCCAGTCGATGGACGGCGGTCCGGCGCAGTCGAACGTGGTGCGCCACTCGGAGCAGCAGGAGACGCACTCGACCACCGAGAACGGCGCCACCAGCGTGGCCCAGCAGCGGCGCCAGCAGCACGAGGCGGCCACTCTGACGGCGCACAACGGCCAGACGCGGCTGGAGGCCGAGCGCGCCGAGCTGGACCAGAAGATGGCCGCGCACACGGGCGCCGACGGCGTCACCGAGGTCCAGGAGGAAATGGAGGCACGCGGCGGCGTCCGCCAGGCCACCTTCGAGCACGACCAGGACGGCGTGGCCCAGCCCGTCACCAGTTCCGGAAAGGACTTTGAGGCGCGCGCCCAGCTCGAGTACACGCACGAGGCGGCCGAGGGTGGCAGCGGCCAGTTCAAGATCAATAGCGGCCCGGCGGCGGGCGGCGGCGGCGCGGACGGTCCCGCCGGCCGGCCGCCCCCGCTCTGGCGGTTCTCGGCGTTCGGGCCGCTGATCCAGCCGCCCAGCGGCAAGATCCGCGGCCAGGTGTCCATGCAGACGTCGCACAGCATGTTCAGCTGCCAGGCCGGCGCCCTGCCCAGGTCAGTGCCCGCTCTCTCCGCTCTCCCTCCCTCTCGTGCGCTCTCTCACGCCCCGCACCTGTCGTTGGGGCGCGCCCCTACCGGCGCTGTCGGGGCTGAAATAGACGGCTGGTCGGCCATTTCAAAGGGAACGGCCGGTATGCCGGTCGGGACCTGGTGGGGCTCAGCATGAAGTGAACTCCACCGGAGAGGGATAGTCGCCGCTTCTGACTGTGGCTCAGCTGTGGTTTGATTTGCATGGGACCATATTGGAGCAGTATTTGCTACTCATGCTGCGATTGGGCCAACCAGTTTTGGCGCTATGGAATAGAGTCCCTTGTCGTTATCTAAAACATCAGCTCTGGACTTGCCACGCTTATAACGAAGTCTCATGTGTAGGTATACAGTACGGTCTTGAGCATAAAAATACATAGTACCTATGGATGGGGTCAGATAAACGAAACATAAGCACGTATTTATACAGTGCTTCGAAGTATTCGACAATACTCAGCATAAAGTAAATGAAATTGAAAACGAATTGAGTCGTCATGTTTCTCACCACCCAGCGAATCAAATTGGGTCACCGCCGCTTGAATTAGGGCATAAGCAGATTGAGTTGGACGGCCTTTTCCGCGGCTGCTAATTGAATCGGCTCACTGTCTGCGATGATTGCATTTGGGCGCTGCTTTCACGCCCGGAGGCAGCCGCGAACGAGCATCAGCGGAGGCACGGGTCCATTAGGGCTCATTGTGTCCGGTCTCCCCTGCTCCCCAGCCGCGCCGAACGGCAGAAAATGCTCCTCCATAGGCATAGTTGTAAAGCTGGGCTCGTTGTTCCCGCAAATAAACAGTCCATAAAGCCATGAGAAAGTTTGTGTTCCATGGCTTCAATTACGTGGTTGTAACAGTCAATGATCTTGTAAGGAGTATAGTCACCGTGATAAGGAGTAGGTGCCTGACCGGCTAGCGTTATGTTTCTGTCTCTGGACAGAAAACTACAGAACTAAAACTACAGACAGCTGTATAGACATTACTTTTATGTAACACGACTTATAAATCATAATATAGATATCCTAAATCGTTTGTAAAGACGATTATCTACACATTTAGATACTATAACATGTTCCCATTTTATTCACTTATCCACATTTTCTTATATCTCTAACTTATGTATGTATGTGCGTCGTACGCCTAGCTATGTATATTCGAATTCCTCGTATCAATCGTCAATCGACATCCATTGTAATTCAAAATGGCA